AAAATGGAATGAAATTAGAAATCTATGGTAAGATAAAAAATAGATACTACTTTAACAAGTGGAAACTAATTCATTATTGAATGATAAATGAATATCAGAAGAAATCATGGGCAAAATAAAAAATACTTAGAAGCAAATGAGAATATGGATACAACATATCAAAATCTTTGGGGAACTATGAAGATAATTCTAAGAGGAAAGTTTCATAGCATTAATCTCATACATTAAAAGAATAGAAAGATATCAAATAAATAATTTAGTGTTATACCTCAAGTCCAAAGGGGGGAAAAACAGAATCAAAACTGAAATCAATAGAAGATAGGAAATAATTAAAATCAGAGCTGAAATCAATGAAATTGAGATTTTAAAAAATGCTAAATTAACAAATCAAACTTTTGGTTCTTTAAAAAAATTAACAAAAATTGATAATCCCTTAGCTAAGCTAACCAAAAGAAAGGGAGAAAATTCCAATTGTTAAAATTCATAATGAAAAATGAAACACCACCATAAACACTATTGAAATACAGAGTATAATTAAAAACTATTTTAAAAATATATACCCGAATGAGATAGAAAATCATGAAGACATTCAGAAATTCCTAGAAACATAGGACCTACCCAAATTGAACCAGGAGAATACAGAAAATTTAAATAGAGCAATTTTAAGTAAAGAAATTGAGGTAGCCATCAAAAGCCTACCAAGAAAGAAAAGCCAAAGACTAGATAGATTCTCAGCAGAGTTCTACTAGACCTTTAAAGAACTAATACCAATTCTCCTCAAGTTATTTCATGAAATAGGAAATGAGGGAACTCTTTCAAACACTTTCGATGAAGCTAGTATCACCCTGATATCAAAACCATAAAAAGACACACCAAAGAAAGAAAACTTCAGACCAATATCCTTGATGAACACAGATGCAAAAATTCTTAGTAAAAGATTGCTAAATCGCATACAACAACACATGAAAAAGTGCACCATGATCAAATAGGTTTCATCCCAGGAATGCAAGGTTGGCTCAACATAAGAAAATCAATAAATGTAATTCAGCACATCAATAGACTTAAAGACAATAATAACAACATAATTTCAATAGATGAAAAAAATTGACAGAATACAACATCCATTCATGCATAAAACACCAGAAAAAAATAGGTATAGAAGGAACATACCTAAATATGATAAAAGCTATATATGATACACCCAAGGCCAATATCCTTCTAAATGGGGAAAAACTTAAAGCATTCCTTCTAATAAAAGGAAGAAGACAGGGATGTCCACTTTCACCACTTCTATTCAAGAGAGTCCTTGAAACTTCAGCCAGAGCAATTAGGCAGAAGTAAGAAAGTAAAGGGATATAAATAGTAAATGAAGAACTAAAACTATCTATTTGCCAATGACATGATTCATATATAGAAGACCCAAAGAATTCCACCAGAAAACTAGAACTCATAAATGAATTCAGTAAAGTAGCAGAATACAAAATTAACACCCCCGAATCAATTATGTTTTATACTTTAGTGACAAATCAACAGAAGAGAAATTAGGAAAATCCATTGCATACATGATAGCCTAAACCAAACAACGCAAAACACAAACTTGAGAATCAATCTACCAAAATAGAAATACAACCTCTACAGTGAAAACTACTAAACACTACAGAAAGATATTGAGGAAGACCTTAGAAAATCTATAAACCTTCCATGTTCTTGGATAGGCAGACTCAATTTTGTTATAATGGCCACACCACCAAAAGCACTGTGCAGTGTCAATAAAATTCTCATCAAAATTCCAATTACATTCTTCAAAAAATAGAAATAGAAGTCATGAATTCATCTGGAAAATTAGAAACCCTGAATAGCCAAAACAATCCTTAGCAAGAAAAGCGAAGCAGGAGGCATCACAATTCCAGATCTTAAATTATACTACTACTATAGTAACAGAAACAGCATGGTATTGGCACTAAAAAAGATAAGAAGAACAGAATAGAATACACAAAGACAAATCTGCAAAAACTACAGCTGTATCATACTAGAGAGAAGCACCAAAACATACATTGGAGAAAAAATAGCCTCTTAAACAAATGGTGCTGGGAAAACTGGAAATCCATATGTAGTAAAATGAAATTTAGTCCCTATTTTTCACCCTGCACAAAACTCAACCCAGAGCATCAAAAACCTAGGAATTGGACCCATAAACTGTACATACTAGAAGAAAATGTAGGCCCAATTGACTTCCTTAGCAAGAAGTAAAAACAATAATCAATAAATGGGATGGAATCAAACTAAAAAGCTTCTTCACAGCAAAGGAAATAATCAAGAATGTGAAGACAGGAGCTTAAAGAATGAGGAAATATTTGCCATCTACACCTCAGATGGGGTGTTAATTTCCAGGATATATAAAGTATTAAAAAAATTAACACCAAGAAACCACAAATAATCAAATTAATAAATGGGCAAATGCATGGAACAGATACTTCTCAGAAGAAGAAATAGAAGTGGTCAAAAATATATGAAAAAATGTTCAACATCTCCAGCAATTAGAGAAATGCAAATTAAAACTACTCTGAAATTTCATCTCACTCCAGTCAGAATGGCAATTATCAAGAAAACAAGTAACAAAAAAAAAATGGTGGTGAATATGTGAGGAAAAGGGTACACTTTCAATTTGCTGGGATTGAAAATTGGTGCAATCATTATGGAAAGCAGTATGGAGACGCCTAAGAAAACTTGGAATAGAACAACCATTGACACAGTTATACCACTCCTTGGTTAATGCCCAAAGGACTTAAAATCAACATACGTCAGTGACACAACCACATCAATGTTTATAGCAGCTCAATTTACAATGACTAAGCTATGGAGCCAACCTAGGTATCCTTCAACAGATGAATAGATAAAGAAAATGTGGTACATATACACACACAGTGGTATATACACACATTATTTTAAGGCTGAAAAGCAGTGGGTAGAATCCTCTTGTCAAACACATATGATGAAACATGGAGAATGAAAGTAATGAGTCTTTAAAATTGAAATCTTACAGTGCCCCCATTTTATCTCTTTTCAAAGAATGTGCATTAAAATGTGATCTAATGACACTGAAGAAATCTTTTAAATGTTTTCCATATTGTTAAACTATAATTATGAATATAACCAGGTTAAATGTGATATGTATACATATTCTCAATCTTTAAGAAGCATATCTTTCTTACATTTTCTGGTAAATGGATGAGACTGGAGAATATCATGCTAAGTTAAATAAGGCAACCCCCTAAAAAGCTAAAGGTGGAATGTTCTCACTGTTATGTGGAAGCTAAATCTCAATAAGGGGGGAGACAAATGGAAGGAATGTAAGGGGGTAAAAAGGAAAAGGAAAGACAGTGGAATGAATCTGAAATAATTTTCCTATGTACGTATATGAATACACCATAGTGAATCCCAACATCGTATGCATCCATAAAAATGGGATCCTAATTAGAATAAGATAGTCCATGCTTGTATAATTTTATCAATATAATTTCTACTGTTATGTTAAATAGAACCAAGAAAATAGTTAAATTTTAAAAAGCATTAAATTCTCTTATAGGAAAAACAAAAATGTCACTTATTTACATATTTCTTATTTGTTAACTTGTAGAATTTGAAATTAAATCAAAATAGAACCTGAAATTTCCCAGTGGAAATATTGCTAAAATCAAAACATTCTTCTTGATATGCCTTTTCTTTTTAGGGGCCTATAAATGATAACTTTATAACTGGCTGGTTAGGAATCATGCCATTTTTTGTACATCCCATGCACAAATAAATGTTGAGTAAATGATATTTCTCACTTTTAATCAATCTCTTGTTAAAAATTACAATTCATTCACAAGTGAAAACCTGGTTACATTCATAATTATACTTTAATGATATGGGAAACTTTTAAAAGACTTTTTCATTGTCATTAGATCACATATTTTAATGCACATTCTGTGAAAAGAAGTACAATGGTGGCACTGTAAGATTTCAATAGTAAAGACTCAAATATTACTTTCATTCTCCGTGTTTCATCACATTTGTTTGACCAGAGGATTCTATCTACTATTTCTCAACCTTAAAATAAAAACAAGTAAAGTTATGTTATTCAGCAGGGACAAAATGTAAATCATTTTTACTTTCTATTTTGTGTCAATTTACATACAGCATAAGCATGCAGCTTCACCTCCCCACCCAGTTTTATAAACTAAAATACACAAGATTTAAGTTGAATGCCAGTCATTATTGCTAGTAAAAATGAAGTCTTTTGCACACAGCTGTGTTTAAAAGAATGGTATTATTTGTAAAGAATTTTCTTAGATATCTAACGTATTTGGGTAGTTCAATAGAAATGTGCTCTTTGAAAAAATTTACATATTTTATGAATTTTTTTATGTAAAGTGAATTATAGTTATCAAAATAGATAAATTATTTGCATGCTTAGCCATTAAAGCATAGCCATTAATTTAAAAAAATTCTTTTAATAACCAGGTATATCAAATTACACATAATCTAAATAAACCATTATGGTAACATGACTAAACTCTCCAAATCAAACAGGAAATTTGAAATAAAATAATGAAGCATGTCCAAAAAAACAAGAGAGTCTTCCCAGACTAATTAAGTAAACAGTGTCTAACAAAATTTGGAAAATATGAAAGAAATTTTGAAATGTTTAACAAAAAATGAGGATATTCACATTTCTAATATGATACTGATATTTAACTCCCTTTATATTATAATTTAAGTTTCTCTCCACATTGATTAGACTTTTGATCTTAATTACAAGCACTGTACAATAATATGGGTACACTTAAAATTTTATAATTTAATTGTGCATATAGATTTAAGAAAGCCTTCTCATTAATTAGATAGGAAAGGCAGTGTTGTAGCTCTGAAAACAAATTTCTCGAATGAGTAATTGCTATCTGATTTTCTGTGGGAAAACCAACCTAAAGTAACAATCTTTGTTGATGCTTGCTCAGATCAGGTGGACCAAAACAGCAGGAAGTGCCTCTGACAGATTCCAAGACTCCAGTGTCTTCAATGAAACTTTGAGGATTACAAATATTCAGCGACACCAAGGAGGCCGATATTACTGTAAAGCAGAGAATGGTCTGGGGTCCCCAGCCATAAAGTCAATCAGAGTGGATGTATACTGTAAGTACATTTCCCAGAAAACTGTAAGCCCAACACAGATTTCTTTTGTCCAACTTCTATGGCTTTCTCAAAAACCGTAGTAGAGCTCTATTTGAGAATGCAAGTATATAAGATATTGAAAGTTGTTTTAATACATTTCTGAGGAAAGAAATCTTCATTCAAAATTTGCATAATTTCTATGATATAATAGTACACATTCATTATAGAACATTTAGGAAATACATTGATAAGATGATAATAAATATTACAGATAATTCCATCAGTAGCTTAGTGTTTGATGTATAATCTTTATATATATTTATGCTTATATTTCTATATTCTTATGAAACCAAGGTTCATGCTCTATGTCCTTTAACTTGTATTTATTCACTTTGCTTAGGTGTGAACACTGCTATTGTTATTTCTTTAATGCACATCATATATGTAAGCAAAGTTATCTGAATGGGTCTGTGAGAACCAAAAATCTGTGTGGAGTCTTTTTTTTTTGATCAATCCCTGTTGAACGCAATCAGTACCAACCTACGACAATGCTGTGCCACCTGAAAAGTGTTTGACTGATTTCTATTTGTTCTTAGTTGTGTTTTCCTACTTGGAAAATGTATTTAAAGTCTTCTTGGCCTCCTTACTTCCTTCCCTACTAAACAATGGTCTACATTCAGTTTGGTGTTTTGCATGGGTATATCTATCATTATGTCTGTTATCTTTCTATAAGAAATTGCATTTAAGTCTCTAATATTAGAATATAAGGGAATGCTGGGTTTGTAGTTCAGTAGTAGAGTGCTTGCCTAGCACATGTGAGGCACTGGGTTCTATCCTCAGTACCACATAAAAAGAAATGCAATAAGATATTATGTCCATCTACAACTTAAAAAAAAGAATGTAAGTTTTTCTCCTCGTACATAAATAACACATGAAAAGTTCTCTTTTTAAAATCTATTTTTTCTTCTTTTCCCCTTGCTTTTCTATCTATGTGGGATAGGGGCTACAGAGTTAGGAGTTACAGGGTCTGTGTGTCTGACCTATCATCTGAATCTCAGTTATCTAGATGAATGGGAAGTAGGTACCTGAGCAACACTTGTGATTCATCTTTCACATTAGGATGGTTGTTGTTTTCCTTCAAGATAGAAGTCCGTATTTCATTCTCTCTGCTACCTTTCAGCCCCTGAGATATCACCTGGTATAATTCAGCCACTGTCATCCCAGGCACACTTTCTCCCTATTGTCTGGGTACATGGGTTGTATACTTTCAAACATTGCCAAGTCCCTAGCCTCCATTTATTTTCAGGAATATTATTCAGATATAAATTTAAATTATACTAAATTTTATTTAAATGGATTAAATAGTTCTGTAACATAACTTTCTAGAGTACCTACCTCTCTTTTCTTGTTATTATAGTTTAGGTCATGAAGTTTTAAATTACACATCTCAATACCTTAAACACAGTTTTAAAATCTAAAAAAAATCTCTAAAAATGAATAGATGGTTCTTTTGGTAACTTTTTCAGCAAAAGCTTATGTGAACTAGGTTGGTAGCAAAATATGACCTGAAATGACTTGAATAGAAAAATAGATAATATACTCCTTATTTACCCTACTTTGTATAATAGTTACATGTGTAGCTAAGAAACTGTTTGATCAGAGAGTTAGGCACAGATCCTTCTGGGCGTGTTATATAATAAGTGGTATATGTACTATATCATCTTTCTAAAGTCTAAAAACTTCTGAAACACATCCCCGGTGAACTGTGAACTGTATTGCTACCACAATAAGTTTCATAATGAATAAAAAATTGTATTGTTGGGTTAAAAATCAAATACAAAGGGGGGATCACTTTTTAGAGATTTAGAAAATAATCTTTCTTTTTACTGAAATGATTTTCAGCATTATTCTGCATTACATCTACTCCTTTCTATCTCCATATCTCTAACTGTTCAGATTGGGTTGTGCCTGAGTAGTTTATATTGTACAAATTGCTGGGAAGATAACACTGTTCCATCTTCCCAGCCCTGTTAATCTCATAAAGCTGGTATCATGCTCCATGCAGCCATGCCTGAAGGCATCAGCTCGGCTACCTTCTTCTCTTTTGACTTCCCTTGGGGTTTTCCCCACACAAACTGGACTTGACAAACAACTTGTTTATGTTATTTAGGTGAAATATCACTATGATTCATACCGTATTGAAGTACTATTTTCAGTACATTTTTGGTGGCTAGGATTTATTAGAAAGCTGTATAAAATCTCAGTACTATAGAATAATATGTTAAATTTTGGACTGACTATATAAATGTGACATCTCTCTAACATAAATTCCACAGGGAATACCTTCAGTTCCAGTTAGACCTTTTCAATATGGGCATATAAACATACTTTTTACATAAATGTTCTTGTCCATGAAGGTTTGAGATTTGAATAATTATTTCATATAGTAAATTTTCAAACATGTTTGGATGGAAAAATGCTTTTGCAGTAGAGACAACACGACCTATTTAAAGAATCCACGTGCTATAAGTATAACCTTGACTAAACAACAGAAATTTTAGGTTCAAATATATTTTCTGAACATGAGTATTAGTAATTTAAAACATTCCATATCATTATTGATAAGAACATAGATAGCATATTAATGCTATATTTTTATTTTGTCATGTTTTCTGTATAAAATTGGTTAATAATACTTAACATTCATCTGTGTTTTGATTTTGACTTGATATTGAACTGCTTAATTGAATAGATACTCATTTTATAAGCTTTAAACAAGAGGACAATTTTATTTTACATAATTTTGTTTGAACTATTTTAGGAAATGCTAAAACAATGGTATCAGTTTTTCAGTTTGGAGTCATGGATTTAGAATCAACACCTGCACCCTGCATTTCTATTTCTTTTTCTAAACTGATTCCACATGTGAAGCTTTCATCAACATTTGTAAAACTAGGAACACAAGAATGGGCATAGGATATAAAATGGTTTTTGAAGTCTGTAATAAGGATTATATCTTCAACACCAAACTAAGGTAAACTATGGCTTGGATTTAACAAAAATGAAAATAATTATTATTAGAATTTAGCCTTGAGTTCCTTGCAATAGGTTAGCTCTAGAAACTGCTCCATGATGTACTCATGCTTATTTAATACAAAACATATGTATTAATGTAATGCCATCAGTAAAGCATTGTTGGAAAATTTTTATAAAGAGTGAAGTGAATATGTCTCATTAAATCTCAAGGTCTGATCCAAAGTTTCTACATGTTAGAGCTAAAAGCTACCTAAAATAAAATTTAGTGTTAACCATTCATTATTTTGATTATTCACATCTTCCTGAAATCATAATAAAACCACAGTAAAGGAATATAACAACAGCAATGGAGTAAATAAAATTCACACTAATCCATGTCACCATGAAATTGTAAAACATTGGGAATAACTATTTTTTGTTGTATTTCACCAAAATTTGTAAGTAAACCAGAAAAAGATAGAGAATCATTTTAAAAATAGGAGATCATGCATAAAATAATTCCAGGATGATAATGAAACAGGACACTGTGATAATAGATATATGTCTGACTTTGAAAGCAACCAAAACAAGGCTCTCTCTAAGGAAATGACCTACATTTCCCCTCCAGTGCATATTTCTTGTTTTATCCCAAAGGTAGCTCTCTCTCTTGAGATGGCCCACATTCTCCCTTGAATATGTATCTACTTTACTAAATAAAAATAAATCTTTTGTGCCTTTGATTGGTAACTGATGCAATTCTTTTCCATCACATATGTGAAGAAAGCCACTGGTCCTGAGTCAGGTTCCCCCTTCTCTCTGGGAACTCCTTGGACCCTTCTTTGGAGACTTATTTTCTCCAGTGACATCTCTTGGTGGCCCATATTGAGAACTTTAGAGATATTGACTTTGTTTATATTTTTCAGATTACAACACTTCCTTGTTGAAGAGAATGGCAACCCAAGAATTCCAACCAATCCATACAGTTGAGACCAATGTCTGTCTCTTTTAGAAAGTCAGGATGAGACTTCTGATCCCTGACTAGTCAAGGTCTTTGCCCCCTGCCATCCTGAAGCAACCATAGAAGATGGGTCTTCACACAACACTAGCTTTTAAGATTATGGGATCAACCTCTGGATAGAGGGGCTGAGATTTTGGAACAGAGGAAAAATACTGAATCTTAAAGGAAGTATCCATGAACCACTGAGATACCAAAAGCACCTAGAAACAATTCTCATTCCTTACCAACATTTCTTTGGCCATGCACTTGACTTATGCCCTTGAAACATAAGGGCAATGCTCAAGCCTAGGCAACACTGTCAAGAAATTGTGTATCTGTACCCTGCCTTCACCTCTAGTCCAGTCCCTAGAAACCTCCCTCTATCAATATTAATACCCCACACCAAGGGTATTTGTCTGTCTCCCTCTGGAGATGGCACTCATTCTCCCTTGAATGCATATCCCTAGCTTTACGCCACAGGCATATCTCCATATGTTCCCCATTCTCTCTTAAATTTATTTACTTTCCTAAATAAATCTCTTTCTATGCCTTTGGAAGAATATAACAAAACAAAACAACCAAGACAGTTTGAAATTGGAAGAAAAGTATGTCTCCAGGAGAGAGATGCAACTACTGGGCTACTTGTTGCTTTAGAGAGAAATTGTAGACTTTTCATGGAAATTTTAGTAATATGGAATGGTAGTGTATACAAAAGTAAGTGTTCAAAATATGGAAGTTGTTAACAGGAGGCTGAAAATGTTATATACAAAATGAAATGTAATGATAATATAGTCCACGATTCAACTATGAAGAATACCTGCATAAGCATGATAACATCAGCATTTTACCTAATAAATACCAAGATATAAATAAAAGAAGAATGGGTAAGGGTTAGCATAAGAAAGAGTTTATTGCCAAGCAAATCAGTAAGACACTGTGAAAAAAAATCTGTAAATAGCATTTAAATATTGAAAATATGAAGGCAATACCAAATATGACTATTTAAGAG